CTGGTAGCCCTTCGGGCAGACATTCTTCAGATTTTGGTAGCCCAAAATGAATTTAAGTAGCCTGAATAAAAAAGACACTGGCTGAACTTCACTGCGGACAAATCAGCATCAAATCAAATCAGCAAAACTTCAGTGATTGCTTTTTTTCTTCAAATAACAAGTCAAGAGAGTAGGGGTGCAACGTATCACAAAACCCACGTCTCGGATCATATTGCATTAACATATCAGATTTTGAGGAACAGATCGGATCATTTTGCAGATGAACAAAAAAAATATGGTTCTTTATTATTTAAATAACAGAATACTTCTTTGATACCACAGCAAAAACTAGTAGCATATAGGGATGTAACGATTCACTCAACGCATGATGCGATGCGATTCACGATACTGATTTCACAATACAATTTTCTCACAATTTTTCTTTTTAACAAAATGAGATTTAAGACAAATTATAAATGAAAAGGTGTCCTTTTATTATTTCTCCAACAAAATGCTGCACATTTCTTTGTGAAATTGAAATATGTCAAAAACTAACTTGAAATTTTAAAACAAATCCCAAATCAAATAATTAAATAATAGCCTACAAATAAAATAAATCTCTTCATATAAACAAACTAATGCTTTGGCTGTGCTTTTTCCATTTAAAATCAGAGGCAACCACTGCATTTTAATCATGATCCAAACAAAGATGCTAAATACATGTTATTTAGATTGCTAACTGTGTTGAGAGAACAAGTACACTGTATAATGTTTGACACCTTAATGGCGTGTGATAAAAAAAAAATGTGTTCAGCTTACGTTTTCACCCGAAGGATGTCCTCTCTCTCTTTGGTTGTGCTGTTCCACGGGTAGAACCCCAGTAAGAACTTCCACACCTCCCTCCGCAGAGATGGAACAATGCCCTAGAAAAAGCAGGAGAGATTTTATTCAATGGAAACTTCATTGGTTTGTGGCATGTAAGCAGGATTAGAAAAAGATCACTGAAACATAGACGCACCCCTCTAAACACCAGCTCCTTGACCTTCTGTGGATCAATGACACGGCCCTCTGGATCCAAAAACTGATCCCAGTTATCCAAAGGCTTTCCTCTTTTGACCTGCGGTCTGGGGCCGAGCTCTGCCCCCTGGTGGAATGTACAATCTCTTTTTATGTTTATGCACAACCAACATTTATACACAAACAGTCAGCACTCTATGCAACTTACACAGGTAATGAGCTCAAAGCCTGGCTCCTCATCAGCTGGGTGTGGGCAATGGGCATCCTGAGGGGAGCGGTTACTGAGGGGCGACTCTTGATGTGTATGTGGAAGTGCTCCTCGGAAGAAGTTCGTCACTTTGGAGAAGCCCCCGAACGTAGTCGCGTAAGGGTCTTGAATGAACCTCTGTAGAGATGACCAATCAGATGGCATGTTTACAGGCCCTTGTTTATGTTTATGTTATGTTTATGGCTTTAACCACACTAAAACATAACAAATATGACTTACAGACACAAGATCTGCACTGGTATCATCAAAGAGGTGCAGCTCATCAAACGACTGTGATAGGGCCCCAGAATCATGCGGGTATGCCAGGAAGAGCCTACCATCCATGGGAGACCTTACAGCAGAATGTCACATGAGTATGTAAATATATGGGTACTAAAATGCAAAAGGGTTGGTTGCAAAAGAATAAATTAGTATGCCACTCACGGGGCCAGCCTGATGTAACGCTGCATGGCTTTTAGCAGCTCTCTAGCACCCCCTCGTTGGAAGTGCAGGGGAGGGAGAGGATCGCCCCCTCTGGTGGTCAGCACCAAGAAGTTCCTGCCCAAAGAGAAGCGAGCCCTCCGAAGAGAGTACAGCTCTGAAAGGGGCAGGGAAAAGGAGCCCCACTGACCTGCCAAAAGACATAAATGTATGTGAGCATGTACGGTATCTAAATGCATGCGTACATCATCTGACAAGTAACAGTTTAGCACAGTACCTTTTTCTCTGACTGGTGGGTGCTCTTGCCGTCTTTCCTGCTTGACTGTACTAATGACGGCCCAGTCTGGCTCATAGCCTGGGTCAAACTTAGTTTCCTCTTCCCCTCCTTCCCCATCCTTTCAAGAAACAGAATTTAAGAGAGATTAAGAGAAGCAGAAGTTCAGGTGACAGGATACCATACAAAATAATTTTTTAAAGATGTTTTTAATGTTGTTGCGCTCAACAAGACTGCATTTATTTGCGCAAAAATACAGTAAACAGTAATATTGCAAAATATTATTACAACTGTTTTCTATTTTAATTCATTTTAAAATGCAAGTTATTCCTGTGATAGCAAAGCTGAATTTACAGCATCATTACTCCAGTCTTCAGTGTGACATGATCCTTCAGAAATCATTCTAATATGCTGATTTGGTGCTCAAGATACTTTTCTTGTTATCAATTATCTGTATTTTTGTGGACACTGTGATGCGTTTTTTTAGGATTGTTTGATGAAAAGAAAAAGAACATTTATTTGAAATAGAAAACTTTTTTTTATATTATATATATATATATATTCATTTTGAAATGTAATATGCAAAATGGCAATGTATTTCTGTATTTAAATGTACATTTTCCCATACATATGTGCAACGTTTAGTGCAAAATGAAAATTCCATTATATAATTTACATTTGCCATTTACTACACTAGAATGTAAATTAAATACATATTTTAACGCTAAGTTGCAAAATTAAAATAAAAAGTATTCCCCAAATTGATTAGACATGTTTAACATGTCCAAGCAAAGCAAAACTGTAGCAAAATTATCAGTTGAATGCTGTTTTTCCTAAATTAATTTAGACTTACGGATAGGACACTTGGGATTGCATTTTCATCAGAATACCACGTGATAATTGTAGCAAAATGCAACGTGAATTTCAAAATGCATTCTGAACCAAAGGTATAGCAACAGGGTAGCAAACGTGAAGAGCCTACGCGTTTCATAGCTGCTAGTTCAGTGTGCGTGAGAACAGTTTACTCCCACTGACAATCCCACATGCGCTACAGAGACCCACAGAGACGCGGTGGATATTTCACAGACAAACACCAGGTATGTGTGTGTGTGTGTGTGTGTGTCTGTGTGTGCAAGTGCGATAATGTTTGTTCCACATTGCATTTATAAGAGCAGTTAGCCACATTCAGAAAAATGAATGGATCGCTATGGACCTCTGCTGGATGTATATGGTAATTACACTTTTTTCCCTTCTAAAACTGTATTTCCTACAGATATTTTTTCTGTAACCAACCAAAGGCAGAATTCTGTCCCTAACACCTAGATCAATAGCCAGAAACAAATTAAATATTTAATTTTGATCATCGTTAAAGTGTCTTTTATTCATAAAAATGTAATATTTCAAATGCATGCTAATGGTGTAGTTGAATAATTTTTATATCCCCCTAAACACAGCATAATCTGCATCAAAAAATTAGTTTCAATAAATAAAAATATTGTTAAAAGTCACATTATTTGTTGTTTGTCACATGTAGTTGACCATTTTTGTGCTGTGGGTAATAGGAGGATTTTCCACCCGGCTACCACCGCAAATATATTTCAAACCTGTGGGAAGCACTGATATATTAAGCATTTCTCAGGGATTTCAGCACTTTCGTGGCTGAATATTCATGACTTTTACAATTACTCCTGATTGGTAATTTTTTTAAAGATCTTTTGTTTGTTTTAAAGATTTTTTTAATAGAGATTTAAATGGTTGTATTGTATGTGTGCCAATATCTTCAGTAGGACAAAAATGTTTTAATTCCCATTAATATTCAAAGACCTTTATTTCCATGACTTTCCCAGGCCTGCTAATCACAATTTACAAATTTCCCAAAATATGTTTTTTTCTTTGAACATGTTAAGTTCAATATTGATTTTAAATGAACATGTGACAAGTGACCTTTGAACTTTGAAGAGCAAACCGAGCGTTCCACCCTCTCTACTCAAGTCATTCTCTTACTAACCTTTTTGGTGTAGAAGACAGCAGGAGCATTTCTCACATCCTCCTCAACAGGGCTCCACTCCATTGCCGGCTCTCCATCCTGCAAGAGTTTAAATGTGATAACAGCCCTTAAATACTCTCAGGTTTTGTAAATGGTGTTAATAAATAGACGAAATTATTTACTAACATATAACATCATTAATAATACATAATAACATTAAATGTTTAATAATAAAATATGTTAATCCTGATACAGTCTGTTGATCATACCCGCTCAACTATCCGGATGAAGCCAGGGATGGTTGTGTCCTGATTGCTTCTTTTGGCATTGGTGTGGAGGTAAACACCCTCCTTCTCAAAGATCAGCTGATGAATGACATAAAACATCACACTTTTACAGCAGGACCAGATGTCAACAAAACTATAGATGAATAATTTGAAACAAGATGTCAATATATAATGATTATCATTCAGTTTTGATCATAGCAACAGCATTAAATAGATACAATGAATTTAAATGTTTGTTTTTTCTAATAACCCAACAATAAAATAATTGTAGCTTTAATACTATAGTGGACATTTCCTGATAGACTACAATAGATTAATAATTCAGCGGCTTACAAATAATATATTTCAGAAGTTAGATAAACAGCAGATCATCATATGGAATCTCATTCTAGCTGCTAGTTTTAAGCTATAATATTGCTTTATGTTATGACCAAAGCTCTCCAGTTAACCGGTCCGACCAGTGACGCCGTTCAATAAAATCTTCCTTGCTGAACGTGTTACCCAATGGGTGACAGTGGTATTTGAAAGATCAACCCATCATAAAGACATGCCAGTGACTAAACCATCAGGCTTGAACGGCATGTCAGTCATCAGCTTGGGCTAGCGCTAACTAGCTCCAGCTATAGAAAAACCGAGAGACAACCTCTTATCCTGAGACATTAAATACGTAAAAAGGTCAAAAATGTATATATAGTTTTGTGTGCTGTCATGTCAAATGTGACATCGTTGTAAGTAAGGTTACTGACAAACACTATCGCTACCCACCTTGTGACTTTCTGGCTTCGCCTCCATTCCTCCTGTGCTCACGTAGTTTGACCAAAACAATCACACTTCCGTTTTTTTCCCCTGGATGACACCGCCCACCTCCGCAGCAGCCAATCAGAAACTCACAAGACATGACGTCGTCTTTATTTTGTTGTTTTGAAGATGAGATCATGAGTATTATGTTCTTAGCATATATGTGTTGATATTTACAATAATTGAATGATCTGTAATACAAATCAGATGTCAGAATCGTGGAGGGGATCGTTGTTGAAAGTCGTCCCGCTGTCATCATAGATTCTGGCATAATTTGCTCATTTTCATGTCCTTTTTTCTCTTCAGTGAAAAAAAAGGGAAAAAAAGAATGACACTCACCATTCACTTTCACTGCATGGGGAAAATATGCATTGATGACTGAGGCTGTCATTCTGGAGGCTGCCAGTCTCCTTTTGTGATCCATTGAACAAAGACAGTCAAAGACAGTCAGTTTTGATTTCATTTTGCTCTTTAAATTCTCTTTATGATCAGCTTCCTTCAATGTCACACCTGCTCATGTTTGTTCTTTCTGAACGTTACCTTTGCAAATGTGTTGAGAAGGGTGTTCCTGACCGCGCGTGCGTCCGCTCTAATGTTGCCATGTCCGCTTATTTCGCGTTTGATGGGACCCTTATATGGACCCTTTTCACAAGACTGTGACGACGCGTTTAAAGGGGTCATATGATGCTGCTAAAAATAACATTATTTTGTGTATTTGGTGTAATCATCTGCATCCTAAATCCTCGAAAGTTTTTCATATTAGTATTTTTTTTTTTTTTATGTATCTACATTTATAACACTATTCTTTGTATTATATCACCTTTGCATCAAATTAAGCTTCTAAATTGGCCACATTCACTTCATTTGTAACTTTGATTTTTGTTTCTTTCTTTTAAAGAAAACAAGTAGAAGTTATTATTTTTGTAGCATGACAATGCACTTCAACAACAGCGGTGCCTGTGTTGTCCCAAATTCTACATAGCGTTTTTAGGGGCTGTAATGACTTTGGCTGTTGATACTTCAAGGTGCAATAGGTGATTGTCTTCAGAATTTTTTTTTGTTATGTTGGTTGAAAGTCTCTTCACATCCCAATAACAATAATTAAGTTAAGTGGTCTAAATGTATTTCTTTGTATTTATATATTCTGTGGAAGGTGTAGGACCAAGAAATGCTTGTCCAATCAAAACGTCTGTATTTATATATTCTGTAGAAGGTGTAGGACCAAGAAATGCTCGTCCAATCAATTTTGATTGACTTTCCTTCCTGCCTGTCAGCATATGTATTTGCATACCTCTGCGCACCCGGTTCGGGCAGACAGCATACGTCATCAGCGCAGTCACATACGCTATTGCAGACAGAGTGAGAATGGCAGGCAAACATCAACAACCTGATCTTCCTTCCTGGTATTGTTGTACTTTTACTAACTGTGCTATAAAGTTTTCTCACTGGTGAATGACACATGATGTACTGTAGTAATGTTGTCTCTGATTGTCTGATCTGCATGTGTTTATGCGTTCAGAGGGCGTGGCTTTGTTTCATATAAGGAGGTGTTTGTCATTTCTAAACTCAAATTCGAATTGAATGGATCTCTCTTTCTTTCTCAGGAGTCTTTTCAATGGATGAGGATTCTCTGTCCCGGGACTGTGAGCCCTTCTTTGAGTCTGATGGGGAGGAGGAGAGCACTGATGGTGAAGAATTATAATAATAATAATAATAATTATTATTATTATATTATTTTAAATAAGAATGTACCAATATTACAATTCTGGTAAATGCCAAAAAATAGATAACAAATATATAAAATAGATAAGTGTTATTTAATTATTAGTATTTTAAATTATTAATTTTAAGTGGCTGTTAGGTGATGTTGAAAAATAGGGGAAATCAGCATATATAAAAATATCCCATTTCAGCTGGTACAGGTTCACCACTGTTCAAAAGTTTTAGGGTCAGTAAGGTTTTTTATTTTTTATTAATGGTTTCATTCAGCAAGGACACATTATATAGAATTAAAAGTAACAGTAAAGACATTTAAAATGTTACAAAAGATTTTGGCTTCAAATAAATTATCAAAAAAATTGTACAAAAAAAAAAAGGCATCACGGTTTTCATAAAAATATTAGGCAGCAGCACAGCTGTTTTCAACATTGGTAATAATGATAAATGCTTTTTTTAGCAGGAAATCAGCATATTACAATTATTTCTGAAGGATCATGTGACACTGAAGACTGCAGTAATGATGCTGTCTTCACAGAAATAAATTACAGAAATAAATGAGTTAAAATGAATATTCCCCCCAAAAAAGTTATTTTGAATTGTAATAACATGCAACTATTACTGTTTTACTGTATTTTTGATTAAATAAACGCAGTCTTGGTGAGTATAAGATACTTCTTTCAAAAACATTTTAAAAATCTTACCGACCCCAAAAATAATGTAAAATAATGTGCATTCTTATTTTAAAATCTTTATTCAGTAATCACAAGCGAATATGAAAAGTCATAGAAACTGTTTCAAGCACAGTGACCGTTCATGTAAGTGTTGTTCAAAGAGATCATTATCTGAGTTATGACACTAACATCAATGTGTTTTTATTGCAGTCATTCGTGTATTTACATCTGTTTTATTGCTGTCAGGCTCTCTGAGTGAGGAAGCTCCTCCACCTCCACGTGGCCTGGCAGTAGGTCACCTTTCGTCTCGCTCTTCTAAGCCCATGGCAATGGCTCGTTCACTGCCTGTCTCTGTACCAGTGTGGGGCTACAGGAACAACCATGCCCCTCAGGGCGACTCTCATAGTGGAGAACGGGTCGGTTGTACATCCGCTTCATACATGTCCTCATCCACATACCCTCCTACTACAGCTTCATAGAGATTGACAATTCAAATGACCTTTTTTTGCAGATTATGTTTGCACTTTCAATACAAAGGATGTGTAAGATTGTAGGAAGCAAAATTACGCCACCTACTAGATTACTCATTTGACCAAATTTGAGGCTAAATTGTTCGTATCATTCATTGATAAGACAATTTCATAATTAATGTGTTAAATAGGTGCAATATTATTGTACTGCATTATTGACCCAGTTATCGATACAATATTTTGTTGCCAAGTCCTTTTTTGATTAACACCTTTACTGCTGTTGTGACAAAATGCACTTATACTGTGCTGCTTGAAAATTTGTTAACCCTTTAGAATTTTCTATATTTCTGCGTAAATATGACCCAAAACCTCATCAGATTTTCACACAAGTCCTAAAAGTAGACAAAGAGAATACAATCAAACAAATGAGACAAAAATATATACTTTGTCATTTATTTATGGAGTAAAATTATTCAGTGTTAAATATTTGTGAGTGGCAAGTGTTTGTGAATCTTTGCTTTCAGTATCTGGTGTGACCCCCTTTTGCAGCAATAACTGCAGCTAAACGTTTCTTGTAACTGCTGATCAGTCCTGCACAATGGATTGTAGGAGTTTTAGCCCATTCCTCAGTACAGAAGCGCTCCTACTTGCTTCAGGTCCTTTCACAATTTCAATTGGATTAAGGTCCGGACTTTGACTTGGCCGTTTCAAAACATTAACTTGGTTCTTCTTTAACCATTCTTTGGTAGGACGACTTGTGTGCTTGGGGTTGTTGTCTTGCTGCATGACCCACTTTCGCTTGAGATTCAGTTCATGGACAGATGTCCTGACATTTTCCTTCAGAATTTGCTGGTATAATTCAGAATTCATTGTTCCATACATGATGGCAAGCCGTCCTGGACCAGATGCAGCAAAACAGGCCCAAACCACGATACTACCACCAACATGTTTCACAGATGGGATAAGGTTCTTATGCTGGAATGCAGTGAGGGTTTTTTTTTTCTCCAAACATAACGCTGCTCATTTAAACCAAAGTGTTCTATGTTGGTCTCATCCATCCACAAAACATTTCTCCAATAGTTCTCTGGCTTGTCCACATGATCTTTAGCAAACTGCAGACAGGCAGCAGTGTTGTTTTAGGAGAGCAGTAGCTTTCTCTTCGCAACTCTGCCGTGGACACCATGGTTGCTCAGTGTTCTCCTGATGATGGACTCATAAACATTAACATTAGCCAATGTGAGAAAGGCCTTTAGTTGCTTAGAAGTTAGCCTGCAGCCCTTTGAAACCTAGCTGAATTTTACACGTCATGCTTTTAGAGTGTTCTTTGTTGATGGACCACTCCTGGTGAAGGTAACAGTGGTCTTGAATTTCCTCCATTTGTACACAATCTGTCTGACTGTGGATTGGTGGAGTCCAAACTTTTTAGAGATGGCTTTGAAACCTTTTCTAGCCTGATGAGCAACAGCAACTCCTTTTCTGAGGTCCTCAGAGATCTCATTTGTTTGTGCCATGATACCCTTCCACAAACATGACCAAACTTTGATAGATCCCTGTTCTTTAAATAAAACAGGGCACACACAGACACCTGCTAATCATCTCACTGATTAAAAGCGGTTTAACAGGACAGGTTCCACTCAGAACAGGCCTCACCATGGTCGACCAAAGAAGTTGAGTGCACGTGCTCAGCGTCATATCCAGAGGTTGTGTTTGGGAAATAGACGTATGAGTGCTGCCAGCATTGCTGCAGAGGTTGAAGGGGTGGGGGGTCAGCCTGTCAGTGCTCAGACCATACGCCGCACACTGCATCAAATTGGTCTGCATGGCTGTCGTCCCAGAAGGAAGCCTCTTCTAAAGATGATGCACAAGAAAGCCAATTTATTTGATTGGATTCTCTTTGTCAGGACTTGTGTGAAAATCTGATGGTCTTTTGGGTCATATTTATTTAGAAATATAGTAAATTCTGAAGTGTCCACAAACTTTCAAGCAGCACTGTATAATTTTTTTTATAAAATGTATAATTTATTTTTAGAAGAAAAATGGAATAATGGCCACTGTTTTAGTATTATGTCACGTTTATTCACTTTTACTTGTTTTTTGCTTGATTTAAATGTCTTTTATTTTAGGTGGGCTGTACGGACCTGGACCACATAGCTGCCAGTATGAAAGCCCTGCTGGTCCCCGGAGCCACAGATGGAACGGAGATGTTTGGAGCACTGCCACGACCTCGCCTTAACACGGGTGACTTCTCTCTCAAGCACTGAGAGAAGACGAATGTGTGCGTATGTACTGTATGTTTGAGCGTGAATGAGAAGGGGTGGGGGACCGCGAGCATGTTTGTGTGCGAAAGTGATTTGAACAGAACTGGAGAGTTTGATGGATGTTTTTAACAAAGATGTTGCCAAATCGTAAACTTCTTCCACATATCATTAATACTTCTATGGCACTGAAAGTGGTGAAACCTTTACCAACCCTTCACATCTGCGGCAGAAGGAGGAGAGGTTTGATTAGCATGTCTTAATTGGAGAATTTCTTTTGGCGGATGGTTGTGGCAGACTTTAGTTACATAGTGCATTTCATTGAGAAACACTAACAGAGCAAAAGTACATAATTACATTACTAATCATACCCAGCAACTGTCCTCTGCAGTGTGGCATTTACTGATAGTATATGAGCCTATTTACACGCTGAGATACTCGCACATCCATCACCAGGGGAGCATTGTACATTAGCAAACACTATATGTACTTGGATATATAGACTGCTGCATTCAGATGTGAATCCAGTAGTGTATATTCCATGGCAAGATTGCCAAAGCTGACTAGATGTTAATCTGAATGCTTGCAAATTATGTCACTTTCTGCCGGTGTGCACTCATTTTTATTTCAGATACTGTCCTGAAGACTTTCTAAATCAATGCTTTGTAAAGCAAAAGACAATGAGCGGACAAAAAAATTCGGTAACGAATGTTTGGGATTTTTCACCCATAAATTACATGTTTCTGCATTATAACTGATTAATGTGCTGATAACTGATACGAATGCAGAAATGCAAATTGTATAATTGTTGATTAGTATGATAACTTCTCAAATCTTGATAGACTGAATGATATTTCAAATATGAGGGTTTACAACACTACAGATGTCAACCAGCTATGCGTTCATCTTAAACATTTCACAACTGTTCAATGTTTAAGTAAATACGTTTGAATAAACAAATTGTTTGTTGTTGAATTCTGTTGCCCTGGGCATCTACTTCCATTGAAAAGTTCAAAGATTTTGTCTAGGTGTGGTTGGGCAGGCTGAAGAATATATGTGTAACTCTCTGAGCAAAGTCGATGCTTCCTGTGCTCAGCAGAGGGCAGTGTTGTTCTTTTGTAGTTTTTATGTACAAACTCTCCCTTAGCATTCATTTACACATTTAGCAGACACTTCTATCTAACGAACAGAGGCGGACTTACCCATTAGGCAAAGGTAGGCAACCGCCTTGGGCCCCAAAAGCCAAGGGCCCCCTAAAATGCTTTTCATCTACAAGATACGCATTAAGCGCGGACATGCGAACAGTTGCTTTTTACGGTGTTTATCACCACGACAACCGTCTGCTTGTCCGAGTTGAACACATTTCTCGTGTATCCTGCTTGTAGCAATTGAAAATATGCATCTGAAGCTGTAATTAAATATTGAGCAACAGTGCGTGTTATATGTTTATTGTTTTAAATGCTGCTTACTTATGCATAAGAACCCAAGTAGAGGATGCATACGCAGTTTGTTTGGTTGATATAATCCTTAGGTGTGTAAATATATAATTTCCTTTTCCTTATTTTTTTTTTTCATTTAAATTTGTAGTTAAAATAACTAAAATAAGCATATTTTAAAGTTTAGAATTAGAGGTTTAGATTAGGCTGGTCATCAGTGGACTTTCCTGCTATATATAGGCTATATTTTTTCACACTTTTCTCATTCTCACTAATTCAAGGGAACCCACTGTCTTCAGAAAAGTTTCAATGGCATTTTCATTCTATCTGACAAAGTAGCGTTTATGAGCAGCGCTGCTTTGTTTACAGCCATTACCGGGGAAACCGCTATATTTCTGACGTCCCAAAAGTGCCTCCTACTGGCAGATAATGAATGTTCATTTTCAATAATCCAGTCTGTAGTTTTTGTTCAGACCAATGCGAAAATCCACCCACATAACCCCGTTTTAAATTAATATCATTATTTATACTTAAGACACATCTCTTTTCTTAAAAAAAATGTTTAAAGGCTCAATTGTGAGGTTTATCATTTTATAATTTATTTTGTTTTTGTGAAAACTAAATCAATTGCTATTTTGTGGTCTACAACATGAAAGAAAGCCATTATAACATGTACATGAAAAATGTATAAACATTGGACACAACTGTGGGGCACCATTATGCAGCAGCAAGCATCACAACAAAAAAGGAACCTCAAGGCTAAATTTGTAAATGTGTGCAAATACATAGGGCCCCATTCATCTATTTTGCCTGGGGCCCCCAAATCACTAAATCTGCCCCTGTAACGAAACTTATAAATGAATACTAAAATAAAACGATTCATCTTAAATTCATTCCCGTTCCATTAGCAGAGTTATGACAAAAAGTCAAAATTGTGAGATTGTTGAGATGAGTTGAAATTATGACAAATAATTTTGACATAAAAACTATTACAAAAAGTAAAAAAAAAAACATCATGACAAAAAGTTGAAATAATGAGTTTATAATTTTGAGATCAATGTTGACATTACATTTTTTGTCGTAATTATGACTTTTAATCTCTTCATTCTATAACTTCAAAATTCCAACTTGTTGTCTCATAATCATGACCTGCATAATTATGACTAAGTCATTTTTTAAAATCTGTACTTATGTGTGAATAAAAACCTACAGTAAATTAGAAGACTTTGATTCAACTACTTGTATAGGTTCGTATAGATTACTTTTATGATGTCTTTATGTAGTTTGTAAAGCTTGAAAATGTTGAATCTTTCAATTGATGAACAAAAAATATAAGAGAATACAACAAAGTGATTCACCTTCACTTCATTCCCATTCCCACTTTTGATTTAATTCCCATTTATCTCATTCAGGTCAGGTTTGCATTAGCCAATCAACTAATCCGTGAATACCTTAAATTACTCTGACTGGCTGATGGCACCACAAGAACACCCACAGTCTCAAACCTTTCACTAGTAACAGAAAAGAAGCCGTAATTTAAAATGTGTAAATTAGTATCTTTTGTATACTTTTACACAGACGTTGTTGCTAATTAAAAATAATCTGTGACTATGCAGAGCTGAATTTTGAAGAGAGCTGAAAGGGTAAAAAATTATATACTAAAGATTTTGTTTTCTCCACAAAAAAGTACTTTTGATTGTCTTGGTCTAACCCTAACTGGGTCATGCTAACAAGCCAAACATTGGCCCGTTGATTAGCCCCCCGAAACCTGTACCTGGTTTTAATGACATGTCAAAAATAAAAAAACAACATACCACTCATATATAACACATCGCTACTATTTTGAGCTAGTTTATTAGACCACAGAGATAAATATTCACTACAGTATCTGCATTTGTCATCACATGGAATATAAAATTAATACAGTGACTTTTCAAAATCATTAGTATAAAGATTAATGCTACACCAATTAAATTGCTGGCTAAAATACTATATTTTGAACCAACCTAGTGGTTAGTAACAGGCTGATTCAGGTTTAGAATGCAAGTCTCCATTATGGTTTCAGTAGTATTATTCATTTTGTTGTAGTTAGATAACTTTTGTATCTTACTCCCTACCAATGACTCTTTCTCAAAGTTTCCTGTCCTCTTTCTTATATCACCCTTACCCTGTTTCCTTCCAACCCCTCCCTCTCTTCTTCTGTATTCACGCCCCTACTGATCGTTCTTTCGGATCCAGCAGTAGGAGTTCCTGCCCACCCAGAAACCAGGGAAGAGCTTCTCCTTGAAACTGGTTGCAAACCGATGAATCAGTCTGGTCTCCTTGGAGCCGTTCTCTCCATCTTCAACAAGGATAAATTTGATGATGCCAGCTGGCTGGTCAGCGTAGATGCCAATGGTGGGACAGAGGGGAGCCTGGAATTCGATGTTCTCTCCGTTGTGCCAGATGTGGTAGCAGGATCCGGCCCAGCCCACACCCCATGACAGGTCATTCTCTCCCAGACCACATGGGCCATCCTTAGCTTTCCGCCCTGCGCTTTCACACGCTGCCCCAATTACCACCCAGCCCTCGCAGTCCACCTCCCAGTACCCACGACTGCCCAGAAGACCCTCCTTACACAGCACCTTCAGGAGGATATTGTGAAAGTTATCCAACAGCAGTTGCCTGGTTTCTACATGTTGACCATCTTATGCATTACTTTCTGTCATCATTTACTCAGCCTCATGTCATTTCAAACTTGCGTAGCTGTCCTTTTGAGTTAAACTTGTGAGTGAGTGAGTGAATCATTCAGGCTGGTTTTGTGAACCATATCAACAGATTCATTGAAATATTAGACTAATGATTTGATCATGAAGCAATACAATCACATACATAGATTTATGGAAGCCCATTTCATAAAAAAGATATCATGCCAAAAAATGTGAGATAAGCATAATTATGACAAAAATGTGAGACTGTTATAAGATAAAAAGTCGAAATTATGATATAGAAAGTAATAATTATTAGATTAAAAACTATGACAAAGTTAAAAAAGACATCATTACGACAAAAAGTTGAAATTGTGCGATGCTAAGTTATAATTATGAGATAGCAAAACTTATTAGATAAAATGTCATAATTGAGAAAAAGTCAAAATGATGAGATAAGTTATAACCTATGACATTTAATCTCATCATTCTAACTTGGAATGTCATAATTCTGACGTTTTGTCTCACAATCATGACCTAGCATCCCATAATTTCGATTAATTTCAAGTCATGTTTTTTAATCAGTGCTTATGTGTGAATAAAAGCCTAAATCAAATCCTTTCATCAGATTAAAAATTGTGAATTCATTTGTGCATATATATATATATATATATATATATATATATATATATA